GTTTTTTTTAGCCTAAAATAATCTAATTCTCTTCGTACGGGCATAAAGATTCGAACATTTTACCTTTTTGTCTACGATGAATTTTGAACTTGCATCTAATGGTATCGTTAGAGATGTTTCGTTCGTGCCTTCTGCAAAACTCCCTTTTATTTACATGGATCCTAAGGCACGGATTCCGATCAAGAAGAGATATCTCTTCATTCCTCCTCATATTCGTTTAGGGGGATTTTCCACCCTGTTTGGAGTGGATTCCCTCAAGGTCGAACCGTACGCCGTATGTGTTAAAGAGACATCTCTAGTGACTATCGAACTAAACAAAAAGTGAAATGAAAGATCGTAAAGAGGAACGGAAAATTGACACGTTAGTTGAAAAAGGATTTGAATTAATTTTCTCTTACAAAGTTGATGCGAAGTTTGGCAGCTAACTTAGGTAGCTAGATATAGTCCCCACCTTGTCCTCCTCCTACTCTAAATTTATTAAAAAAATTTTAACTTTCCCGTTCATCCAACCGTATAAAATTATCAATATAGCCACGTTATTTACCTACTAAATTACTTCTCGTTAATTTAACGATGAATTTCTCGTGCCCAAGTTTGTGTCAGATAGTAAGAGAGGAAGGGCCTATATGCAAAAACATCATTTTTTTTTTTTTTCTGTCTGTCTCTTAAAATTACAGAAGTTTCTGTAACTTTTGGATGGTTTTCATGCATAGACTTGAGCTAAGAAAATAGCTCCCATGCATAATTAGACGCCCAAGAAAAATATAAATAAATAAATAAAAGAAATTAGGTAAGGGTAATTATACTGATATATATATATATATATATATATATATTATATGTGGGGTTAGGTGACCTAACACAGCACGTGCATGCATCACAGACAGGTGCCGATAAGAGTAGCCTGATGGGTCAACGCATAGCCCATGTTATGGGGGAAGATAGTTTACTTTCACTCCTAGTGAATCTATATTTCTATTACGTCATAAAAAAAATATATATATAATATTGATAATAAAAATTTACAATCTTTATCTGTATGAATTTAAATATTTTTTTTATTGATTTTTAGTTATTACAATTTTTTTAGAAATATTCTTCGACATTATCATAAAATTGAGATTTTGATTTTTTTTTTTTCTTTGACTAAGAAAAACGATGATAATAATAATAACAACAACAATAAGAGTTTAGAGGATATTTGAGCATCGGCGTTGAATGCACAGCTCACAACCCATTCCTATTTAGAAATGGGCACCAATGCTCTCAATCATCTCGTATGACGTAGCCGTGTGGATAGTCTAGTGCTTAATGATCATCTAATGGTGTTATCAATCAAGAAGGTCGGTAGATAAATCCATCTCTCAACCATCTAAATTTATCAACAGATCTTAACGGAAAACACATATTTTCAAGAGTAATATAACACCATGTCAAGCCAAACCTTTAAATTGCAAACTCTTGGCAAGCTCATCGATAAGACAGTAGCATAACAAAGTAGATAAAATGTTCTTGCCTCTCAAGCTCGTGTATTCTATAGTTAGAAGGAAAACTTAAGAGAAAAAAACCTAAATGATTATAATGAAAATACCAAACAGCTCATACTAGATTATGAGCTAGAATTAAGCACCAACCTCAGAAAAAAGGCAGAAGTGAAGTGAATTTTATCTGTTCCAGTTGATTGAACCAGATTTTGGGTAAAAATGCCACAATAATCCACCAATAGCTCACCTGTGTTGATTGGCCATGATTTTAGGAGATCATGTAGCAACTGAAGTGAAACCAAGGCTGGTTTTTGTACAAAGTTCAACCAACAAAAATACTCGAAATCAATCATCATATTACATGAATGCCAAAACCCAGCGTCAAAATGAAAAGATATGAACCTACCCATCAAATCAAGAAGGTGAGAAAAAGCTCATTAGCTCAACAATAGGATATTCAAATCTAATGAAAATATAAAAACATTTTCAAGCATAGTCTTTGAGTGCTTATTCATAAATCTAAATACGCCTGCACTCATCTCAGCAAAACTTCTAAGAGGTAGGCAGTTTGTCTTTAACGCGTAGCGTATTGAACGGAGCAATAATGAATCTGGTTACACCAGAAAATGTGCCAAAACAAAGACTTTGGGACATGGAAGAAGTGTGCGATCCCACATTGGTTAGAGAGAACAAAACCTTATACGGTGTGGAAATCTCTGGAAATCTCTCCCTAGCAGACGTGTGCGTTTTAAAAACCAAAAACCTTGAGGGAAAGCCCAAAGAAGACAATATTTGTTAGCGATTGGCTTGGACTATTACAAATGGTATAAGAGCCAGACACCAGGCGGTATGCCAGCGAGGACGCTGGCCTCCAAAGGGGTAGATTGTGAGATCGGAGGGAAAAATGAAACATTCTTTATAAGGGTGTGGAAACACACCCTAACATAAACATTTTAAAAATCTTGAGGGGAAGCTTGAAAGAGAGAGCCCAAAGAGAACAATATCTATTAGTAGTAGACTTGGTATTACAAGGCAGAGCTATAATAGTCCTCAGAAACCAACACCCAGAAAAGGAAACTAGCTGAAAACCAAAATCCTTGGGACTCCAACAAGTCCACTAAGAAAACTCATTTCTATGGAGGATCATTCTAGCTCAATTCACCACGAGTTTGATTATCTTGCTACGAAATGAGAAGCTTGCAATAAGAAATGACCGAGACAAAAATGAGAAGCTTGGCATCTTGCTACGATAAAAAAATAACAGACCACTAACCCCACATGGCACATGCTTGTCAAAGTGGATTAACAACAGATCATCAATGAAAATCATTAATACAATCATAACAAGAAGAAATTATTTGTATGCAGCAAAACAATAGGCACTATCTGATCTCTATGACATTAGATAGCCCGCAATTGGGCAATAGTTGCATTGTTCTCATAAATTTAACACACTTAAAGCGACAAAACTTAACACCAAGGTGTGCAGAACTTACAAATTTGACATCATACCTAAGGCAGTATACCAATTTGGGCTCAAAATCCTCTCAATCCACGAACTTCACAAGAAATGCTCGAGTAATATGATACCCAAAACGAGTCAACTCGTCTTCATTGTTGATTCAAAGCTCATCCTCCATCCTCAAATACTCTCCAATATCCGACTGATGAAGAACCACAATCCCATTAGGGTCCAACTTCCTACAATCCTGAGTGGACTTCGCCGCAATTCCGAATCCCAAAGGCACGTCCGACATAGAATACACAACGACTCCATCGCCAGGAGCAATATTTTCAGTAATCCGCCCTAAGCCTCCTTTCAAAACATGGTTCCCATACAAAAAAGACATCTCAGAGGTAGGTTTAAGCCAAACCTTGTGTCTGGCATTGGCAGACAAGAGACCTAGCGCGTGAACGGTGAGATGAAAACTGCCGCCATGAGTGAACTTGCCAATGCATGTGCCGAGAGCCACGAGATTGTTACGGGCTACGTTGGTGGCTCGCTTGACGAGAGAATCGCTGACGTAATAGACCTTGTTTTTGTGGAGGCGGAAGCAGTAGCGGCCGGGATTTTGTTCGGGGCCTTCGTGAGCGGGATTCTCGACGATGTTCTTGAGGTTGTTTCCGGTGAATTTGTGGAGCTTTTCGAACACGGCAGTGGTCTCTTTCTCGTCTAGGGGCCTCATCTCGGGGGTCGGAGCAGGGAGATTGGGCGGTGGCGCGGTGGCGCGGTGGTTTTGGAGGTTTGAGAGCTTATAGCTACCACTTTCTCGGGGATTTTGTGTGGAGAGTTTGAAGAAACCCTACTTGAAAAGCTGAACGATTAGTAAAGAAAGCCCAAGGCCTGATATTAGGAAAGCCCATAAAAAATTGTTAAAATTACAATTCACACCCCCCACGCATAAAATATATCTTTAAATTTTTAATTTTATATCAAAAAAAATAATCTATTAAATTTAAAGAAAATTAAATATATCATCAAAGTTGAGGGATTTTTTTAATTCAAACCTATTATAAAAAATAAAAAAAAATAAAAAAAAATGAAGGCATCTATTAAAAAAATGTTATATTTTAAGTCTATTCTTCTGCTCAGTGTCACGATCATACTCGTCCAAGGCATGTTGTCCATAGTCGCTTGCCCATGACAAGCCAAACCCTTTACGTTTTCCATGCTGCCCATGACTGGACAAGCCAAACCCTTTATGTTTTCCATGTTGTTCATGACGTTTCGAAAAATCATGTCTAGGGCTGCTGGACATGAAATGCTTAAAAAATGTACAGGGATATGACTAGATGTCAACTTCTTTAAAAAAAAAATGTACGGGGATATACCGTCGTTGTTGTTACTCTATTGCTTCCATATTTAACACCTCTTTCAAAACCCTCTTGCTTCCATATATAACCTCTTTCAAAACCCTCTCCTTAAACCGAGACCAGAGGCTCGAGTATATGTCGCTTGGTCGTAGGCGACGTAAGAACAAATTAGCTTAGTTCACTTGTTGCTGGAGAGTGAATGCCGTGTTGCTTGGCCATAGGCAACGTAAGAACGAATTACGAATTGACTTAGCTCAATTATTGCTGGCGACACAATCGCAAGTTCGCTGCCATCAAAACTGCAATTGTAACACTCAACACCTCCAACAAGCCCGTCAGTCTCTTGTCACCTAAAACTCCGCCAATCAAGCACAACTTTACGTGAGGGTTTCAAAGAGAAAGTGATGGGTGTGGAGTTTTTGTGACGAGCAATCCAACAACATTTGTCTCATCCTGGCCTAGCTACAGTGTGTCCCTCAGAGGCGAGTCTGGAGCCAACAGCGCATAACTGCATAACTGCAAGTCAGAAAGCCCGCCCATACTATCTGAAGCTACAAAAATTCAACCAGTGCAAGAACTAGTATTCTTCTTCGAATATATATATTTTTATTTTAGTATATATTAAACTATAGGCTGATGATGGAAGCCTGAGTCGGTGAGTCGACGAACAAACTGTTCACAAATCGACCTTAAAAAAAAAAGGAAAAAAAAAGAATTCTCACAAATGAATGTTGTTCGAGTATACAAAAGTTGGAGGAGAATTTTGCACAAACCAAAAGGCTAAAAAAACGGATATACAGACCACATCCTTTACATAAAAAGTGAAATCAGCCGTCTGCGGCGTCCGACGCTATATCTCCGATCAACAGCCCGCCCAACATTCCCCCGACCAACCCAGCTCCCAATCCTAATCCCATGTGGTTCTTCTTTCTCTGCGGCTTCGGCGGATAATACGACGGCGGCGTAGGATATGCGTAGGCCGGCGGAGGCCGGTACCCATACGCCGGCGTAGATGGCCGCTGTTGGTGATTGTAACCATACCCAGGTTGAGACCGCTCCGGCGCGTACGAGCTGTACAACGGTGCCGGTACATACGAGCCATACGACGGCGCCGGAGAGTACGCGCTGTATCCCATTGGCAGCTGCGGGTAAACTGTATACCCTGCCTCCTGCGACACCACTTTCGGCGGAGGGATCGGGTGCGAATTCGAAGCTGGATGGTAAGCTTCCGACCGAGGAGGCAGAGGAGGGGGAAAAGCCCCACCGTGAGCGACGGCGAATGAACTCGAGTCAGCGGAAACCGGGCTATAAGTCTGGACCGGTCCCGGTTGAACAGGGCCGGATGGCGAATTGTCCGTAAATTTGAAGGAGAAATTTAAGACCCCCTGGGGATTTCCAGACGGTTTTCTCACCTGATAACTAAGATGCTGCATCGAATCGCCTTTTCCGTCGCCGGCGGAATCAAGAAGCTCCTTCACCGGAACGTAGACCTTGCCGATATCCCTATCGCCGAGATTCCGCTGGCAACAGAGCTTGAAATTGAGGGTAAGGCGGTTAGCCCTAGCGGCGGCCTCGTCGATAGCGAATTTGATAGAGAAATTCCAGATCGGATTGCTGCCACCTTCTTTATCGACGGGAGTTTTGAATCTCTGGCTGGATTTAGACTTGGCATTGTCGGTGGTCACGAGCTTGACGACGGTGTAAACGTCCATCTTCATGAGGAAATTGACGTTGTTTAGGTCTCTGGCAGAGACAACCTTGATCTCCATGGATCTTTCCATGGGGAGATTTCTTAGAACGGAAAAGGAAAGAGAATCGGAGACCGGAGATCGGGGACTTGGGAGGTTCAGGGAGATCGGCGGCCAGACGTGGCAGAGTAACGTTTTGGATCTGAGTTGGTATTTTATAAGAACGAAGAAAACTAGTTTCTTAGGCAAACGGATGAACCGGTCAATTCAATACCTTCAATCTTTTTTAAAAAATATAATTTACAAATTTATTGGAAAATTATTTTCTTTTTCTTCCTAATTTCTCCAACTTTATTTATAAAAAATGTGTAACCTTGCTTCCTCATTAATTAAGATAACATCCACGTTAGAATGAGCCCTCAAATAATCTTTCCTTTTCCTTTAGCGGAGGCTCAACTCCTTTCTCACATCATTTGTTCGACATTGAGTCACTTCTGATTTGATAATTCTATTGACATGTTTAAGTTAAAGGCATGACTCTGCTATCATGTTAGGAATCATGAACCTACACAATGGTATGATATCGTCCACTATGAGAATAGTTCTCATAATTTTGCTCTTGGTTTCTCCAAAAAGCCTCATTACAACGGAGATAGTGTCCCTTACTTATGAACACATGATCTTCCTCTTAATTAGCCGACGTGAGAGAATTCTTTTCGATAATTCCCAATACAAACGTGTCCTTGATTCAATAATAAAAACTTTACAAGAAAATAATAAAAACTCAAACCAAATCAAACCAAACCAAAACAGTTCAACATGATTACTTGGTTCTAAGGTATTCCATTGGTTCTTTGTCTAAGCTTCTGTTTTCCAAAGAGAAATGAATAAACAAACAATGCCCATCTTCCATTCCATTCAAAAGGTAAGAACTTTAGAACCTGCACAATAATTAGCAGTTTAGCTTCTGGAATCTGTATGCTCTAAAATGGAAACAGATACACCAACCTTCTGCCATTGATTCTACACTGAAGTAATCCATTCCAGACCTCCTTAACCTTCTTGTTCGATATTTACATTCGACATAGCCGGGTGGACGGAGCGTATAGCATAATCACCAGCTTTCTTTCTGAGGATGGGAAGATGAAGCCATAACTCACAGGACATGTTTTACTTTCACCACTGGACACTGTACAGAGCAAAAACGAGGAGCGTTCGAGAACGGAGTGATCGAAGAAAAACGTTGACCGAGATACGAACTGTGTGCAGCAAAAAATAACTTAAGAGACAACTAAAGAGGCTTGGTTTCTGAATTACCACCGAGAACTGGTCGAAGTTGGTTCACCATAAGGTTCAAATAGATTACAAAGTAGCATTTGTTCTATGTCTAATTAAGCTTCCAGTTTTTGGAACATATTACCATTGTCATTGCAAATAGTACTTTCTCTGTCATCTAGTTCGAACTTATCTGTGTGTCTCACCTTGGCATGAGCCTGCTCAGAAGTTCTCAACATACAATTCTCTTCTAGAAAGACATCCCTACTCTTTCGCTTCTGTTTTACATCCAATAGCCCTAAAGCATGAGCTTCGAGAGCTCGAGTTGTCGGTGGTCGGTTTCGATTACTTTGTCGTCTAGAAACCATGGTTGAGTCACGTTCTGAAATATCCACACTTTTTTGTTCTTTCATTTCGGTGGTGGAACTTCCATGGCTGTCGGAATCTTGAGGAATCGGCAAATTAAGGTCGATCAAAGAATGAGGAACATGTCTACTTTGTGGAACATCAATACAACTAGTAACTGTACTGCTCCTGGACAAAGAAGACAATGGCCAGTTCTCCTTGGACGAATCGATTTGTACGAGAATGTCGCAGTTTAAATCGTAACGATCAAATGAACTGAGCTCCTGATCTTTTAGCTCAGGACCTGTGAATATTTTAAATGAACTGTAGCTTGCTTGTTGGCTGCAAGTGTTTAGTTCCCAGCTTGGTTTGGTATAAGCAGTGATATCAATATCAGATTTGGGGTTTCCCTGGCTCATTTGGCACTGAATAGCCTTTCTTTCTTGTGTGTTGTCCAGTAAAGATTGCTTATCCTCCTGAATTTTCACGTTGATATTAGTAGAATGTAGGCTGCTATCATCTGGAGACTCATTATTTGAAGAATTATCTACACAAGTTTCCTCATCAATATGAACTTCTTTATCCAAGCTGACTCTTGTGGCTTTGGAAATGTCAGTTACTTCCTTGTCAAAATGCATAGTATTATCAGAATGAGTATCATCCATCAAAATCTCTGAAGAAATATGCTCATCATCTTCAGAACTACTTTTGGATGAATATATATTTGTAAATTCGACTGCCAAACTTCGTAGTTCTCGGACTTTAGGTGTGCTTTCATCAGCCAAACTTGTATCAACAACCATGAATTTCATTGTATCTGTACTATGAACAGGAGTTCGTGGCTTAAGATAGCAGTAACGTTGCTGGCTAGGAAAATCTTCCTGATCCTGCTTTGTTTTGCCAGTCAGCTCACTACTTTCCTTGTCACTGCAGTGTTTTTCTACAACAATGTCAAGATCAAGAAGCGCAGGGTCTGAAGCAACCTTACTCAGGACATCACTAATGGAATCAAAGTAATGTTCTCCCTTAACTTGTTTTCTTCTGCAGAATTTCTTCACATCAGGGATCAAGAACACCAAAGAGTGTTTTAAACCAAAAGTAGTAACATAATTGTTAGCCTGCTCGGAGTGCCACCCGTTTGCTAACAAGCGGGGCCAAACAGCCTCCCAGAAGAGATCACTCGATCGGGCTTTGCTCAACCTAAAACCTCCTGTTAGAAATTTGACGATTTCATCAGGTGTTAGTGTGGAACATGCTTTACCAACTGGAATTTCTGGCCGGGCAGGATGAGCGTTATTAGACTTAATTGGATCCATGGTGGGGATGGTGAGATCTTGTTTTCCTTTACCAATTCCAACAGCCTCTACAAGTGCATTTAACCCAACTGTAGCTTTCAAAGAGAATACGTATCCCTCTAGCGATACTTTACCCTCAACAAATCTCCTAGAAACCTGTCAATGCACCAAAAGTTGAGATCTTCGGAAACAAAATACATATTATTGTAGGATGAAATGTAAGAATAATTCCAGGCGTCTGCTGTAGATTTCCAAGCAGGTCAAGACTACATAAACAACAAAGAAATGTCTATTTTTACACTAACTTAAGCTATCCGTAAAAATGTTCAAAGAAAGGACAAAATGTTAAAGAAAGTCTGTTAGCACCGCATCCTTCACAATAGTGAATAAGTAAATGGGGTCAAGAGTACATAAATACGTGGGATCTCTCGTCGGTTGGAGAGGGGAACAAAACATTCCTTACAAGGGTATGGAAACCTCTCCTTAGCAGACGCGTTTTAAAATCATGAGACTGATGGTAATACGTAACGGGTTAAAGTGGATAATATCTACTAATGATGGGCTTGGGCTATTACAAATGGTATGAGACCCAGACACCAAATGGTGTGCCAGCGAGGACACTAGGCCTCCAAGGGGAGTGGCTTGTGAGATCCCACGTCGATTGGAGATGGGAACGAAACATTCTTTATAAGGGTGTGGAAACCTCTCCCTAGCAGACGCGTTTTAAAGCTGTGAGGCTGACGGCAATACGTAACGGCGATAAAAAATCATTCGTGAATTTGAAGAAATAAATTATAAAAAAAAAACGTGTGTTTTTTTGGATAGGAAGAATGATTCAAGCATTTCAATTAGTAAAATAAGTGGAACTGTAATGTGTCTATTCTTTTGTGCTACTGCTACAAAATCAGGGTGTCAGTTCAACATTCTCCACTGAAAATATGGGCTGCCGACCCTTGACTGGCTCTCTAAATAAGCACATGCTAGTTTCACAGCAGGTATTCTTTAATTTTATTGTTCTTTAACATTGGTGAGGTGAGGTAGCAAATGTGAGGATAAGTTGTTGTATGAACTAACATCAAGGAAAAATTGAACTTACCTCCACTAAGGTATTGTGCTTTTCCTCTGATAATGAGGAAAGCAAGCGAGATAACAACTCCTGCTGCCTCCAGCCACTAAATAACTTCTGTCCACAAATGCATTTCTTGCCTCTTGCTTTACGACATGCCGACCATCTGCGGTATTTCTCAGATCCATAAAATTTCCCATAATAGAAAGAAAGAATATCACCCATCTGTTTTGTTCCAACAAATTTCTTCACCTGCACGAGGTTCTTCCCAAAAATGTATAATCCAAGTAGAAGACTAGCCATTTCCATGTCACTCCAGGAATCATTCAAGGAAACAGGAATCACCCATTGGCCATTATCAACATTGTTTTCATTCATTTTCATCTTCATTTCTTGATGCAACAGAAAATCCTTGTTTTCCATGGCATCACAGGTTCTAGCCTCTCTAGCTTCTAAGTCATTTTGGTTTGATGCCAAAACAATATTATTACTACCATTAGTTTGCATCTGTTTCAGAATCCCAACATCATCAATACGAGCTACCGGTGCAGGAAATCCAACATAAATATCATGCAAACCATCAGCTTGACTTTTCAAAAGCTCTAAATAGTCTGATTTGACCATAAGAGGGGGAATTATTGCTTGAAATTCATCCCCAATTTGAGGAAGAGCCTCAGAATCTCCAAAGTCATCCCATGAACTCGAAATTTCCGGAGAAACAGACGGCTCAGGTGACATATCTTCGCTGCAAGTACCTTTGCTTTTTATTTGAACTGTATCCATCTGCAAAATCCATTCATAACATGACATCCCTACAGCATATCATCTTATCTTCAACTAATCCTATAATTATCATATCAAGAAGCATTAAACTAGCAAGATTTAATTACGTGTGAGAAAGTTATCTTCAACACAGGCATAAAAAAGTTGATTAGCAGCCAATTAGATCCGCCACAACTAGTTGAAGCAAATTCCAAATACTAAACCAAATGCAAAGGAAAACAGAAAATATCATGTCAATACCTACCATTACAAATCATATTCATCCATATGGAAGAACACAAAATTTACAGATAAAAACTGCGTTTCAAATCTACCAAATTAATCAAAGAAAAGGTTACAAGGATCCATACATACATTTAAAAAAAAAAATCTCTTAAAAGCAAAGAGAAGAACAAAGTGTTCAAACTCTGCTCATCGCAGTCATATCCAGATCCATGTTTTAAGCCCAAAACGTCCGATGACTTCAAAAAAAGCTCCACTCTAAACTTAAATATCAAAACTCCAGT